CACGATACACGCACTCTATGGCGCGAATGGCGCAAGAAACTAATGTGTTCTATTCTATTCGTGGTACTTAGGTTCTCTGGCCTGTCCTATTCCTCGCTCTAGCTGCAATGAGTACGTCCGATGGAACCAAGGCTGGGCTCACTTCCGAGACCCCATATCCTGTGGTTTCGGAGGCACCCAAACCGTCGTGGCTGGGTTATCTGTGGGATACCGCAGATGTAGGTGTTCACGAACGGCGCATGCTGTTCAAAGTAGACGCGTCTTTGCTGCTTTTCGCATCTGTTGGTCTTTTTTTTTGCTCTTGCAATGGAACACTCAGCGTCCGCTTCAGCTAGGTTATTTTATCAAGAATCTCGACCAAGTGCGTGTGCTTGGCATTGTTCAATCGCAATTTACTCACAAATAGCGCGGCAGACTAATGTCACGAGCGCGGTGTGTGTTCCGGCGCAATGGCAATTCGTACCTGATACAGCTACAGTTTTTCGCCGGAATGAAGGAAGATCTGTAAGAACCCTCACTTTATCCTCGTCCTCCAGCTAATTTATTTTTCAGAGATATGTACGGAAACGAACTCGTTTATGCCACTTCCTACTGGACCGCGGGGTGAGCCTCTTCCCCTCGCGTTTGACTTCGCCCTTAAACAGAGTCTGTAGATATGTTATCGGCCAAGTGCCATCCAACTTGCTACTCACCAGGATTTCCCCGCAATATGTCATCCCGACAGTGAGTTTCCCAACCATCATCTAGCTTAGTACTCATCCGGGTAGCTTGAGTTGTTTTGGGGGTTGGCCACGCTGGGGACATATTCAGTAAAAAACGTGCAAGCACTTTATGCGCTGAGATTCTTTGGTTCGATTTCTCTAATTGACTGAAAGGTATTCTAATACTCCTTACAGTTGGGTTGTTTGAATCTGGATTCTACCCTGGAATGCACTACATTTTAGGCTCCTGGTGTGTTGATTTTTGATGGCGGTCCTGTCTTCTCAAGATCCAACACAGGTACACGCCGCGTGAGCTCGCAAAGAGATCCACCATATTCTGGGCATCCGGTTCCCTCGGGACCATGTTTTCTGGATTCTTGCAGACTGCAGCATACAATCACCTTGACGGGGTCCACGGGTTGGCTGGGTGGAGGTATGACACAACCTGTTTATTTGCGCTCTAATGTATAATTGAACTAGATGGCTAATGATTGTCGATGCTATTGTGTACGTGCAAGGTTATCAGAACGACTGAAATAAACTATTTTCAGTACTCTCCCAATCGCTCTCCTCGGATTTGCGTTCCTGCCTGATCTCCCGTGGTCAGCGAAGCCTGGCCTGCTCCTCACCGCCGAGGTATGCGACTTGACTCCGCCGAAGTCCTGAACCAAATTCCTCTAGGATATTGATCTTGCCCGTGCGAGAATGAAGGCCATTGGCAGGAAAGAGAGCGAACCATGGAGTAAAGCCAAGGTGAGGTTGTTCTTCTTGTTAGGTGTTCCAAGGCTTATAGTGCGATATCTAGCTACGGCGAATGTTCAGCGGCTGGTACATATATATATTGCCAATCGTCTATGTACTTTGGAACAACGCCCCGGTCCAATCTCCCATGCAATACTGGCTCAAGAGCTTCAACGTCGAACCATATCCTGTCCCAGGAATTTCTTATACCGTCGCACAAATCCAACTACGTTAGTGCACCCAAAGAGGATTCATATTCCTCCAAATAATTCTGCCACCATCTAGTTCCGCTTCCCGCCACGGCTATTTTCTTTGTTACAGCTTTGACTCTGGCATGGGTCAGCGATGGTCCCGCCAAAGGTAAACCAACCACGATCGATCAGTTGAACAAAACGGATATTCATAATTTCCAGGCCGCAGATGGCCGTTCATCATCGCAGGCGCTGTTACCACCTTGGTTTTCGACACCGTATGGCTGTCGATGCCTCTATACACCAATATCCGAGGCCATTTTGCATATTTCTACCTTATGGTACTCGGGGTGCGTCTTCAAAATTTCTTTTGGGACGTAGAAAGATGCTCATGGTTTTTACAGACCACCGCCGGACCTCTAATTCTCAACTGGATTAGTGAAATTACACAGTCGGACGTAAGAGATATTTTTGTCCCATCTAGTTGAATTCAAACATCTGTAGAATGAACTCCGTGCAATTTGTGTCGCGTTGGCGAATGACCTCGCCTACGTGGTTCAAGCTGTTGCACCGAATTTCGTCTGGAAAACTGTTGATTTCCCCCGTGCAACCAAAGGATACCATTGGTCTATCGGTATGTTTTTTATTTATTTATTTTACCGCGGATTCAGTTCACCAAATTTCAGTTCTACAATTCCTGCTGAGTGAGCCTACCGTTTTTCCGTCTGGTTGAACTTCTCACCGAATTACTAACCGCTTTTTTCAGTCGCGTGGACGTTTCTGATTCTCTACCTTCTTCGCCGGGATGAGAAGAAGGCACTGGCGGTGCGAGACATCAACGAAGTTGCAACGGAAACAGTTGAGAGTCTAGAGTATGGACCTGGAGCAGATCCTCCTCGGAAAGTTGACGAGATTATGGCTTAATGACCGAAATGTGAATGTACTTCGACGAGAATTGTCAATGACCGAACCACGATTAACTTGGTCTGCCGACGGCAAGGATGGCGAAATGTTGAACGATTATTGTCGCTGACTGAGACACAATTACTATAGATGCGGACCACCGGACCCACTGGACAAGGATCTGAATTAGCTTTGTGACAAGTCGAGGAAATTGCGCTATTTATGACCAAATCGTCGACATACCCTAGACAGTAGTTCCCCGCCGTCGGGTCATCTGCTCTTATCGCGAGAACGCCCTTTGCTTCAATTCAGAAGCCATATGGCGTGCTCCAACTGACGCTTTGTAACATGAAATTGAAGAGTATTTAGAGGCCAATGTGCCCACGAAATAAACATTCTCACCGAGCAGAAGCATTCACAATGGCCCCAGTTGCGACCGAAGTTAACACTACCACCCCCGCCCACCAGGTTATCAAGCCCGGACCTATTCAACCTGTATATCCCGAGGAGAGCGCGACCTTCAAGCGTCCGCCGGCAAACACCCTCCGGCGCTACGAGAAAGCAGGGATCGACATTTCGCGTGAGTCGGCTGCTGTTCACTCTGTTGGATGGATTCGGTGACGCGAACGTCCATGTAGAGGGATACCCGTACCTCCCGAACAAGCCGGAGTTTGTGCAGGATGTCGAGAAGCTGCAGACTAACTTGAGAGACTACGTCGACCCTGCCACAAGGGCGGACCCCCAGAAGAAGGCGCTGTTTGGCGCGGCGAAGGAGGTTAGGGACCTGTCGATCCATATCGGCGTGCGTTTGCTTTCTTATTCGTGCCTCGTTGAAGAGCTGATAAGGAAAATTGAACCAGACTGAGATCGTAGGCCTGCAACTGGCCGACTTGACCGACCAGCAGAGGGATGAGCTTGCGCTCCTCGTCGCGTACGTCCCATATGTTCTACTACCGCACTCAAATTACTGAGACCATCCTGATTTACAGTGAGCGCTCCGTCGTCTGTGCGTATCCCAGTCACCCCAGATTTCTCCGGCTGACATCAACGCCAATATAGTCTTTCGCGACCAGGAGCTTTCCCCGCAGAAGCAGAAGGAGATTGGTGTCTACCTCGGCGACGGCGAGATCGAGATCCACCCGCAGGTCCCCCAGGTGCCCGGCGTGCCGGGCGTGACGCTCATCTGGGAGAAAGGTCGTGACAAGGAGACTGAGTATCAGGCGAAATTCAAAGTCGGCAGAGGCTTCCGGAACGCGTACCCGTCTGGGAGTTATGGATGTGCGTTATTTTGCTTGTTCTTGTCACCTGGAACTTGAACATATGTTGACTCATCAACCAGGGCACACCGACCTCGTGCACCTTGCATTCCCGCCGGGCTACACCCACCTGCACCAGGACACGGTTCCTGAAGTCGGCGGCGACACGCTCTGGGTGCGTTCTCTGACTTGCTGACGGCGACAGCTGGAACTGAAGTGTCCCTCGCAGGCGTCAGGATACTCGGCGTACGACAAATTCTCGCCCGGCTTCCGCAAGCTTCTCGACGGCCTGAAGTGAGTCTGCCTCCAAGGCTTGGTCTGTTGACAATGATCTGAATGGCTTGCGTTACTAGCGGAATCTACCGCTCTGCTCACCAGTACAAAGACGCGGAGAACCCTAGTGCTCCGCCGCGCCACGTGCACACCGTCCATCCCTTGGTGCGTTCAACGTGGTTTAAGCGAAGCAAATCAAAGTTAATAATGGTGCGGATAGGTGCGCACTCACCCCGTAACAGGGTTCAAGACCGTCTTTGCAAACCGCGCGATGACCGCCGGCATCGAAGGACTTGACCAAGCTGAAGCCGACGCGATCTTGAACCACATCCACGAGTACGTATTGTATTCAATGCAAATCGCCTGGTTCTTCTTGTTGATGTCGCCCAAGCGTGTATGAGAAGTCAACCGACCTCCAGATTCGGTGGCACTGGACGCCCGGAACGTCCGCCATGTACGTTGGTTCCCTTTTGATTTGAAGAAGCAGAACTTGATTGTGCTTTTGGTTTAGCTGGGACAACCGCATTACGATCCACACGGTGTCGTATGACTACGAGGGTAAGGGAGAACGGCATGGCACGCGTGTCAGTTCGCTGGCGGAGAAGCCGTTCTTTGACCCCAACTCCAAGTCGAGGCGCGAGACTCTGGGACTGGATGCTTAGATGTTCATGTCTGTAAATGTATCAAATAACCGAATCCATGTATGCCGCAGAGTTTCCGAAAATATGCATGCCGCTGAGTATATGCCGCAAAGTCTCCCAGATTGTATCGGTTCCAGCTTGGGAGCCCAAGCTCGAAACGCGCAAGAAACCATTCGGGGATGAAATATCCCGATTTGTCGCCGAAACAAAGATAGTAGAGCAAAGAGCTATAAATTCTGAACCAGGAGACCAAGAACTTGAAGAGATTGGAAAGTCTGTCTTGCAGAAAAATAATTCAGGTACAGAGATTTGAACTCCGGATGTCCCCATAATTTTTGTTGCACTTCGGAATGAGTAAGGGACGTGTTACCGCTACACCATACCTGACATCCTCGGAGCTTGTTGTGGCAAAAGACAAGAGCGGCAGTGGCAGTGCTGACAAAGCCACCCCTGCCTTCTCCCATTTTTCGTCTGCTGCGTCCTCCTCCTTCTCCATTCCCCTCATGGCCCTCCCCAAGGCAAGTCCTCCCCGTTCTCTGCTCTTTCATCTCGCCTGCGGCTGACCCGAGTACTCGTCTTTCTTATCGGATTAGCGCATCATCAAGGTAGCTTTGTCTGCTAAGCATTGTCGGGCAGCTTTTAAGGCCAGGAAACCAGGAAACCGAGCGCTTAGTGGCAGACCCCGCCCCCGGCATCACCGCTGCGCCTCATGACGATAACCTGCGGTATTTCGACGTGACGATCCAAGGTCCCGATGGCAGCCCATTTCAGCGTGCGTCTCTGTCCCCAATTCCTTCCTTTACGTCTCAGGAGCGTCGTCTGCCGCCCATGGGTTCCCCTTCCGCTCCATCGCCCAGTCTATCGGACGTCCTAGTGGTCCCAAGACTGACTTGCCTTTTCTCGCTGCTGTAGAGGGCATATTCAAGCTCGAGCTCTTCCTACCGGAAGAGTACCCAATGGCGCCCCCAAAGGTCCGGTTTCTCACTAAGATATACCACCCCAACATCGGTGAGCCCCTCCCGAATTCCCCCCCTTGCCGAGTTGACGCTCGCGTGCGTTATCAGACAAACTCGGCCGCATCTGTCTCGATATTCTGAAAGGTGCGTGCTTGCTCGATCCCTTTCATCCTCTGCTCACAGATGTGCCATGCCACTAGACAAGTGGTCGCCGGCCCTCCAAATCCGCACAGTATTGCTCTCCGTGCAGGCGCTCCTTAGCGCACCGAACCCGGACGATCCGCTGGCCCCGGACGTCGCGAAGCACTACAAGGAGAATGAGAAGGATGCGCAGCGCGTTAGCCGTGAGTGGACGCAGCAGTATGCGAGCGAGTGACCTTCGAGTGCGGATGTATGTTAAGCTTGTCGAGGCTGGGTATCTTGAATGACAATGTACAGTGGATCCGATCCGACCTGTTTCCTTTTCTTCTTTATTGAGCAGGACTATTTAGTTCGCTGATACGTTTGAGTAGATTTATTGCCATCATAAATTCGCCGCCGTCGCTGCCAAGATTCTCTTCGCAGACCCTTGGGCTTCCGCCATTCGAATGGCAATTACGATCTTTCCTCGTCTCATGAAGCCCACGCGTTTGCTGGGTATCATTGGGGAGCAAGGAGAACGCGCCCCAATCGGTGGATCTGGTTATGCTTTCCATTTCCGAGTTGATTATAGAGACCAGGGCTCGGCGCTCGGGTTCCTTGTCTCAGAGGCTCGACATAAGAGTTAACTTACGATTTGCATTTCCGTGCCGATACAACGTATGTTGGGTCATTCAGTGTAGACTTTCTTTCGTTCGACTATGTCCGAAAAGCTGTGAGACAAGATTGCGTTCATATATCTAGTAGCCGCGGCTGCCGATCTTTTTTTTATAGGATCTAAGTATCCGATCTATCCGGACAAATCCGCAGCATTTTAACCATCTGGAGCTTCAACCCGTACCGAGCGGTGTCTGCAGGTTCACGGTTACGGGCCAGCCGATCTATCCGGACAAATCCGCAGCATTTTAACCATTTGGACCCGTACCGAGCGGTGTCTGCAGGTTCACGGGTACGGGCCAGCCCGGAGGTACGTCATTCGGTCGAAGGTTTAAAAACATGACTCGTCCCGCTTGTCGCCTAACTTCCTCCAACATCTTTCCTGCGCATTCCTAAACGCAACGGCCATGGCCACGTTTGCCCAAAACTCGTACGATTCTGGGAACTATGCTGCCTCGCGGCCGACCTATCCGCGCTTGCTTTACGACGTCGTCGTGCAATTCCACAAAGAGGGAGAAGCGAATCGGGACTCGGACAGGTGGAATCGTGCAGTTGATCTGGGCTGTGGGACAGGTATGTCACGATGTTGAAAGAGAGACTAGTACTCGATCGTCCGCACCAGGTCAGGCAACGGTTGAGCTGCTGGCCAGTATGTTTCGCCATTTCGACCAGTGATATATCTCTGATCTTTCAGACAATGACCACCCGGGCTTTCAGAATGTGCTCGCTGTGGATCCCAGCTCCAACATGGTTGAAGTGGGACGAAATTCTATACCAGAGGACTTGAAATCCCGCCTCGAGTTCCGTCAAGCTACTGCAGAGGACCTCAGCTTCATAGAGGATGGGACAGTCGATCTGATCACCGCAGATAGGTGTATTTTCCACGACAGTAGCATGCTGAAAGCCCATGCATCAGCGCAATGTGCGCATTGGTTCGACTGGACCCGAGTATGGCCGGAACTTGAACGCATTTTGAAACCCGGCGGGACATTCGCATTCTGGGTGGGCATTCGAGTTTTGTTCTAGGCTACCGCTCTGGCGACCAACCGAGTTCCCAGGGATACTCGGTATTCCGGCTCACTCAGCATCCCGAGCTGACGCCGCTCATTACCGCGTACGCGCAAGGCACGGACCCTGAGACGTCCATCGGGCCGCACTGGGAGCCAGGGCGGAAGATAGTCGATAACCATTTCCTGGACGTCGCCTCGCCGTCCTCAGGCTGGGCGGATCTGACGCGCATATTTTACACCGGCAAGCACTTCCCTGCGGTGCCTACAGATGCGGTCCAGGATGTGGTCATGCGGAAGAACATGACCTGGGGCGGCGGGTTTGCTAATTACTTGAGCACATTCAGCGCGTTGCATCGATACCACGACGTGTTTCCGGCGGATCGTGAACGCGCGGACGGCGATATCGCGACGCGATTCCGGCGGACGTTGATGGCGGCCGCTGGAAACCCTCAGGAGACGGCGCTGGCAGAAGTCGAGTGGCCGATGGCGTTGGTCATGGTGCGCAAAGCATAAATTCCAGGTTTAAGGTTCGGACGAAGGCAAGTCGGTAATTTTGGGCTTGCCCATCACGTCTTACTGCCTTCAAAAATTCGTCAGTAATGAATGTGCGATGCCCCCGACGGGTGTAACGGCTCGCCGGCCCGAGCTTCAACAGCTCCACTATGCAATCGCTCTCAACAGCATTGTAATCAGCGGGTGTCGTTGGGCAGCCAGGCTTCTTGCGGACCCTCTTTTCCCTAATACATCTACACTCACTTGGCACTCTCAATATATGCTTGCCATTTTTCTCTTCGATGTCTCAACGATGTCTCCAAAATCAAGCTCCTCCGTATAAAGCCTGGGTGTACTGTTGCCCGATTTAGACCATCAATCGCAAGAACGAGCACCCCACATTCCTACACTCAACAGTCATGACCACATTCGCCAAAAGCTCGTACGATTCCGGGAACTACGCTGCCTCGCGGCCGACCTATCCGCGCTTGCTTTATGACGTCGTCGTGCAATTCCACAAAGAAGGTGAAGCGAATCAGGACCCGGGCAGGTGGAATCGTGTAGTTGATTTGGGCTGTGGGACAGGTAGGTAGGTGGTTAAAAGAGAGAGTGGTACTCAAGCGTCCGCATCAGGTCAGGCAACGGTTGAGCTGCTGGCCAGTATGTTTCACCATTTCGCCGGGGAAGAGTGACATATCTGTGATCTTCCAGACGATGACCACCTCGGCTTTCAGAGCGTGCTCGCTGTGGATCCTAGCTCCAACATGGTTAAAGTGGCACAAAATTCCATACCCGAACCCTTGAAATCCCGCGTCGAATTCCGTCAAGCCATAGCAGAGGATCTCAGCTTTATAGAGGATGGAACAGTCGATCTGATCACGGCAGGTAGGTGTATTCTGACGATAAGAAGTCAGATGTGCTCAAGGCGCGTATATCAGCGCAATCTGCGCATTGGTTTGACTGGACCAGAGCATGGCCGGAACTCGGACGCATTTTGAAACCCGGTGGGACGTTCGCTTTCTGGGTGGGCATCCGAGTTCTGTTCATCCACATTATCACCGTGTCGACCGAGTTCCCAGGGATACTCGGTATTCCGGCTCAATCAGCATCCCGAGCTGACGCCGCTCATCACCGCGTACGTGCAAGGCACGGACCCTGAGACGTCCCTCGGGCCCCACTGGGAACGTGGGCGCAGGATTCTCGATAACCACTTCCTCGATGTCGCGCCGCCGCCTTCGGGCTGGGCGGACCTGACGCGCGTATTCTACACCGGCAAGCATTACCCTGCGCTGCCTGCACATGCAGTCCGAGATGTGATCATGCAGAAAAGCATGACTTGGGGCGACGAGTTTGCCAATTACTTGAGCACGTTCAGCGCGTTGCATCGCTACCACGAGGTGTTTCCAGCGGACCGTGAACGTGCGGACGGCGATATCGCGACGCGATTCCGGCGGACGTTGATCGAGGTCGCTGGAAACCCTCAGGAGGCGGCGCAGGTGGAATTCGAATGGCCGATGGCGTTGGTCATGATGCGCAAAGCACCGCAAGTTTAAATTGCGACTCGGCTACTGTAAACCCCCTGCCAAGCCAAGTTTTGTACTATCCTCGTCTTTGCCTTTGGTTTTCCGCCCGAAACTCAGAGTTTGCCGACCGTAGTATACGGAAGGTGTTGTCCATCGGGATGACTCGTTATACCTCTGGTATGTTTAATCCTCTTGCTCCTACAGAATCGTGATTTCGGTGCCTGGAAACAATCTGTGATCGCTCTCATGCATCCCACTTGCACCATGCATGGGATTTCCATATGAAAACATCTTGAATGGAGTGCACTACTACTAGTCTCTGGTCAGACCAATCAACACGTGTTTTCTCTTTGACAGGCGGAGATGGGAGAAAACTGTTTATGGGAGTGCACAGCGCGCGAGAAATTTGTTTGGTGGAAGACATCCAATGCACCCCCACCGCCCTTGATTTTGTGCTCGGAGAAGTTCGATAAAACACGGAGGCCGTCACGGTGAGCAACCGGCCTAATAAATATCCTACAATCTGCCCCTTGAGGTTACATTTGATCATTTGTTTCCCGATCAGATCATCGCAACTGGTACATCTGATCGTCTTGTAGGTCCGAAATCCC